GGGATTACACCCCCGACCTGTGCTTCGTCTCCACCGATGCAAGCGGGAGGCCCCTCCCAGCGACCCGAACGATCTTGGGTTCCTTCCCGCATAGCCAACACAGACCAGCGGTCATCGAAATCGTCCACACAATTTCCGTGATAACCAGCGCACCGACACCGCGCCAGAATTTCCGGAAGGCGGACTGGCCCGCCTTCACAACCGCCGTGGAAAAAAATATCCACCACATCTCCACAAACCCCGACAAATTCGAGCAATTCGTCATGCTCGTGATGAATGCCGCGAAGAAAACCATCCCTCGCGGTTTCCGGAAGTCCTACACGTGGACAGCTGAAACAGAAGGGCTCAACAGGGAATACCAGAAGAGCGGCAACCCTGATGTGGCTACAAAGCTGCTGGACTCTCTGGATCAATCCAGGCAAACAAGATGGGCTGAGCTGATGGAGTCCTTTGACTTCACGCACTCGAGCCGTAAAGCCTGGTGCCTCCTGCGGAGACTCAGAAAGGCCCCTATGGTCGAATATCAGCCGCCCAAGACGAGCGCGGACAGCATTACCACGCAGCTGGTCTGCAATGCCAAAACAACAGGGAGCAAACAATCGCACCGCGATGTCCGGGACGCGACCAAAAAAGCACTTCTGGAGTGCGACAAGGACTCCTCCCCCCTCGCCGCCTCGGTCTCCCCCGAAGAAATCAAAGCTGCCATTGCAGCAACAAAAGCCGGCAAAGCAGCAGGAATCGACGGGATCTACCCCGAATTCCTGAAGAATCTTGGCGACAAAGAAAGAGCTTGGTACCCAAACTAATTATTCAGTCTATAAGGGGATTCCTTGTGAAGGGCCATATTACCCCAATGGCCATATTCCCCCAAGTTACCCTATTGCATGAAGTGCTAGGGTTCAGGAAAGTGCGTGGCACGACGGAATGTGCCCTGTTAAAGCATTCTCGAAAATAAAAACATTAACTTTCCCGGTTCTTCACCTCCCGAAGAAATCAAAGCTGCCATTGCAGCAACAAAAGCCGGCAAAGCAGCAGGAATCGACGGGATCTACTCCGAATTCCTGAAGAATCTTGGCGACAAAGGAAGAGCTTGGTTTGCCAAGCTTTTCACAAAGATCATCGCCACTGCCAAACTGCCAAAAGCCTGGAGGAAGGCAAAGGTCATCGCGCTCCTCAAGCCAGGTAAAGGCGCCGATGACCCGAGAAACTATCGGCCAATATCGCTCCTCTGCGCAGCCTATAAGCTGCTGGAGCGAGTGATACTGGCCCGCCAGGCCCCGGTCCTGGATACCACCACACTACCGGAACAGGCAGGTTTCCGGCCACACCGAAGCTGTGCCGATCAAGTGCTGGCACTGACCACTCACATCGAGGCCGGATTCCAACGGAGAAAAAAGACCGCAGCTGCCTTCATCGACCTGTCGTCAGCCTATGACACGGTCTGGCGCCGTGATCTTCTCCTGAAGCTCGCCACCACCACCAAGTGCGAAAAAACGGTCCGCCTCATCGCCACTATGCTCAACGACTGCCAGTTCCGAGTTCACCTCGAAAAACAATGCAACCGCCCACGAACCCTCCAAAATGACCTGGCACAGGGCTCGGTCCTAGCATCGGACCTGTTCAACCTTTACACCAGCGATATGCCGGCCACGAAGAGCCGCAAGTTCGCTTACGCGGACGACGTCGTCCTCGCCATCCATGTGATGTCACTGACGGAGGGCCAAGACACCCTCAATGGCGACCTGAAGATAATGGAAGATTACTTCCACTACTGGCGGCTGAAACCGAACCCGACGAAGACCGTATCCTCAGCGTTCCATCTTAACAATGCTGAGGCAAAAACGACCCTCCGTATCGAGTTCTGTGGCAAGACCATCGCCCACGAATCCCTGCCGAAGTATCTTGGCGTCGTCCTCGACCGGAGCCTCACCTACAAACAACACTTAGTGTAGGTGAGCAACAAGATGAAGACGCGCAACAACATAGTCCACAAACTAGCTGGGACCAGTTGGGGCTGCAACGCGCGAACTCTTCGGACAGCGTCACTCGCCCTCGTGTAGGGGAATACTGCTGCCCAGTATGGGGACGCAGCGTCCACACCAGACACGTCGACACGCAGCTCAACATCGCCATGCGTACAGTTACCGGTGCGTTGAAGTCAACGCCAACGTGCTGTCTCCCGGTGCTTGCACACATCTCTCCGCCGCAAGTACGACGCCAAACAGCTACACTGCAGGAATACAATAAGGCCATACAATACCAAGACCTTCCAATCTGGAGAGATCTGGACCCTATACCTCCAAACCGCCTCTCCTCGCGACGGCCACTCTGGACCGAATCGACCTCTCTTTACGCAGCCAATATCAATGAGAGAGAGAGAGGTGGAAGCAAGAATGGGACTCGGCGGACGTAAAAAACAAAAGCCTCGTCCCGGATCCCACCACCGAACTTCCGGGTTTCGACCTTCCTCGCCGCCAGTGGACCATCATCAACCGCATCAAAACCTTACACGGACGATGCGGACACCTGATGCACAAATGGTGCATCAAAGACAGTGCGAGATGCGACTGCGGTCACGACCAGCAAACCGTCGATCACATCGTCAACGACTGTTGCATCTACGCCTTCAGAGGTGGAATCTCGGAAGTCCACTCCGCCTCTCCTGAAGCAATCGAGTGGATTAAAAATCTTAAAATACACCTGTGACGGAAAAAAAGAAAAAAAAAAGAGCTGCTCCATCATCCATACGAAAGAAGACCCCCCGACATAAAATTCTCCGACGAAAGCAAAGTGAGAAAATACGTTCTAAGACACTAGGTATGTGGACTAACCCAACACCGACACCAAAAAGCCCAAACTCAATAATACTGAGCTGTGTGCTTCTTCGTTGATCTCCCGTTCTTCTCTCTCTTTCTTTGCAAGCCAGAGGGGGAAGGTGGATGGAAAGTTTGGAATCCGAATTCATGTTTCCAGAGGCTCAGTTAGAACCTGAAAACTGACAGCCTAGATAAGACTTACTACGAAGTTCGGTTGTGTAGAATAGTGTCAATTGTAATGGAATTTTGGGTGCTAAGTCACGAGAATCCCAAGGAATAACCATAGAAGCATAGGAAATGTGATGTCCATTGGAAAGGACGCGGGATCTGAAAGGTTAATATCCGGGAAAAAAAGTTGCCATTTCCCTTGTGGATGGATACAGAGATGAGGTCAAAGAAAGTAACGCTCTTCAGAGTGATATGAATATTCACGAGTTTGCAGATTTTGCGCCATGAAAATTTTTTAAGTACATCCAGCGGGTGTCCGCCGTTCCAAATCAAGGGGGATTCCATGAGTACATTTAATGGATGTATTGGAGGCGTTATATTAGGATAGCAGCTGGATATTCCCAATGGATGCCCAGTGGATCTCCATAAGTTCATCAAGCGGACGTATGGAGTATCAATAGGCGCGGTAGCGCCTATTACCTTTCTTCAATCCCTTCCCGCTGCAAAAATTCAACCTCCTCGTATTCCTCTCTGAGAGCATCAACAGGAACGGAATTTGGCATACTTCCTCTCTCACAACAGAAACACTCCAGCAAATTTGAAGCTCAATCTCCTCGGAGTTGTGGAGAACACTGAATCTCGTTTTTGGAGGATGTGAATTTCATTCCTTTTTTTTTCTCTTCCCCTTCCCTCCTGAGTAGCCACTCCTGGGGGTTTTCGGAGGAAAGAGACCAACCATAAGAAAGATATTGACTCGTAGATGACGAAAAGTGACTTTTTGTTGTCTGCGATGCTCCCATTTCGCTATAGAAAATGAAATTAGCTGTCGTTCAATTAGGCTTAGAGTGCTATCTCCGATACCGTCCCCAGTGTTGCCGAATACCGTGCTGAAATTATGGCAGATTCAAGACTGTTTCATCCATCGTATTGGCGTCTGGTTCTTCTATTTTTAAATGTAAATTTATGAGACATTTTTGTGCTGAGTTCATGAGTTGAGCTGAGAACGAAGCGGTTGTTAGCTGTTATTGATCGATGTGGTGGGATATGCAGATATCTTATCTGGACATTCCTGAATTAACAGGATGGCGCGTACCATGGATTGCATGCTTCTCGAAGGCATTCTCTCCTCAGACCTATTCGAGATGTTTCGAGGAACTCCAAATAGAGCTAACGTTCCATGTCCCACTGAAATGGTTCATGAAACGCGAAACAGACCTCCAATCGGTCTAACGATACACGTCCTCTGAAATGGTTCGTGGTTGTGTGAATAGGCCTGCGATTGGCCTAGCGTTACACGTCCTCAACGATATGTCTATAGACAACGATTCACCCTTACAAGCCTAGTTGGCGCCATAAGTCGAGAATCAGGGGAGCGGCACCAGTTTGCGAACAGGGATCCAGTTAGCGAACGAGGGTCATGAAATGCGATTTGGTCTTTTGTTTCTCGAGTTACACGCTCCAGCTTTTGGTATCTGCAGAAAATGGATTGATTGAATCAGCCCTGATAACAATGGAGTATGAAATAATGTGAAAACCTATTTCAATGGCTTTCCCTTTCTTCAACCCCCCCTCGTTCGCTAACTGGCTCCCTGTTCGCGAACTGGTGCCGCTCCCCTAAGTTTCTTTTGAAAAGAAAAAGGTAGGCCTTGGCGTGACCTGAAGGCAGTCTGTTGGTCACGCCTAGGTCTAACGTTAGTGAGACCTGTAGAGTGGCGGGGGGTTGAAGAAAGGGAAAGCCATTGAAATAGGTTTTCACATTATTTCATACTCCATTGTTATCAGGGCTGATATCCGAAAGCTAATGGACTCCTCTGAACCTTAGCCAATTTATAGACCGTAACAAAGTTATGAATTGCCCAAACTCTGCATTGAAAGTGTAAGTGCTTACAAGAGTTCTGAAATCGGTGGGATTTTGTGGACAAACGTGTCTTACCGAGTGCCAACCACAAGTCGAAAGATGTCACGATATGAGCGATACTTTCCGTTCTGAGAGCTAGTGAATCACTTGAGCATTCGATGGCGTGCGTAACTTGCCCTTTCTTTGATTGACTTCTCAAAAAACGTTAGGATTTCCTTTTCTGCGTAATTTTTCACGTAGGTACTGGCAATCTGCTCCTCTTTGTGCCTCAGGAAAAAATAAACATTTCTACATGGTTTACACCAGCCGTCTTGCTGTCTTCTCGAAGTCTGTCAATATGTCCCTGTCAGTTGAATTTTTGCTCCTACTATAGTTATGACGGAATATTCGTCATTGCAGATTACAGAAGCATCTCGACCCGCTGGTCTGAAGCTGTTTCAGAACATGGAAATCACTAGCATGATGGTCTCGGACGTCACCAACATGCAGGTACGAAGAGAGACAGACACTGAGTTGAAAATTGAAGGTTCTGTCCAGTTCGACAGAGTTTCGTACGACGAGATCGTAAACGCGGGCAATGAAATTCATGAGAAGTTCCAGGATGCCGTGAAAATCAATTGGATTGATATCCTGAACCAACTAGACCCCATTCTTCCTCCAGAGCTGAACAAAACAGCTGAGATTGAGCCGATTATTAAACCAAGTAAGTCTTTGTGAAAGTGATGCCTTGAAACTGGAAAGAAATCAGAAGCACCTATAAAAAAGGCCTGCGTGCAATGAAGTTCATGCTTACTTCAATGTAATTGCTTTGCACAGGCCCTGAGACGATCCATTGCGAACCCGATACGTGTCCCTCGTTTGCCAATTGCAAGGCTTCCACGCAGGGCAAACCTCCTTCGTGCCAATGCAAAACGGGATGGGTTGATCTGTCTACAGAATTACCTGGCCGAGCCTGTGCAAGTGAGTCTACAAAACATCATCCCCCTTTCAGCAATCTATGATTTGATGAGAATTTGTCCCATTTGCGAGCAGCATCTAGCGATCATTGAAAGTACTCTGACAGCAGGATAACATTTTCTCACCATCAGTCTGTGCGAATTCACCCGTGTTGTGTTGTGGCATAGGTAAGACTTGAAGGGGAATTTTATAACAATAATAATAATAATAATATTTTTCGAAAGACACTGGAAATAGGAAGAAGTGTGGCAAAAATATGAGAGTGATGAGCCAGATGTGGTGGGAAAAGTAAATTTTATGAGACAAGCATACAACATAATGTAAGCTCTGGACAACATTGTTTATGACGGCCGTTGCATGGTTCGTCACCTTGTTCCAATTACTGAGTTAATAGCTACTGCTAATAAAATTCGTTTTAAGATTTTAAGACAGTGAAATTTCCACAAACTGTACACTCTTTGACGGGGGAAAATGAGGTCTGTACCGATGGCCAACGTTGGCCGGTGGGCCGATGGCCGATTTTCATCCCATAACCATCGGCCGGTGCCGATTGTTGCCTGAATATTGAGAAGTAAGGTCATTCGGGGTAAGTGTGATAAAAGAAATCAAAGTGTCACTTTTGAATGAATGGCAAAACTTATGTATGGCAGATATAATGAAGTACTTTTGTGCTTTTAAATTATTAGCTTCAAACCATGGTATTTTCATCCAATCACTTTAAAGACTGTAGGAATACACTGCGTTTTGCGCTGATAAGGTCGGGTATTGCAAAAGGGTATTGCAATTCAGCCGAAACAGTCATGATTATTTTAAACCTCTAGACAAGCAATTTTATTATTGTAAGGGTTTTCACTTTACTTAAGTAAACTATTTGGAGAAAGTGTAATCATCAAAGAGTAGTGAGGCTTAGTGGTCTATGTGAATTGAGCAAATATCAGAATTTGAGGGCAAAAACTCTGTGTCTTGATATCAGGAATTTTTTATATTGATCACTCTTACCCCGAGAATTTCTCCATAGTGACACATGGGAAATGAAAAAATACAATTGAAAGGAGTGGAATAAGCACTGGTTTCGTTTGGAAGAACTTTCCATCACCTTATAAGCTCTTTCGCTCCCCACCTCTCTATATTTTTGCTTTTGTTTCTTTGAGAAAACCGTGGAAACAAATTTATCAACAATGATTGCCCTTACCCATTTGCCTAATTTCATGGGATGTGATCAGGCTTACCATACCAATGACCATACCAATCAATACCTACCATACCAATCAATTAGTCCTCTTTGGAGTTCCATTCATGTTAATGAATGGAACTCCAAAGAGGACTAATTGAAAAGTACATAGAATTTACGTTACCAGAATACCAAAAGTGATGTTCATTCAGCTGTTCTGAATAGTCAAGGAAATGTGAAATGATTACGCTAAATTAAGTTCTAGACATGAAACAGCGTACTTACTTACCTTTGATACATCTCTGAGTTGCAGCAATGGAATTTACCTGGAAATGCAAGACAGACTTCGTAATTCATACTTCCTTATTTGCATATTGTGCTCGTAATTATATATGTGAGTGCTGATAAAATTCACTTTTGATTACATTAGACATGCAGACCATTTACTTTAGACTTGTATATGTTTCTCTTACATGAGCTACTTCAGTGATCACACCCATGCCGATATTCCATGAGGGGTGAGCTTGATTTTGAACAAGGAAAATGCGATCATCATATAATAGTGTTTGGGCCATGTGATACTGATGAAGCGGCAATCGCATTTTAGACAAAATTAAACAGCATTTCGATGCAGAAATATTTTTTTTCTCTATGGTCAAACGTCCCCCTACTTGCTTTCTCCATCGAAGAAATACGGGAAAGAAGTACCGCTTAAATGAACGGAGCAGACATCTGCCTGGGGACTTGGCTGATAATGGAAGCAGATATTGTAGGCCTATTTATTTTTTGTTTGCTAACAAACTTATCCCTACCATTTGCATTTATTTGTAGGTTCAGAATTGCATACATTTTCTCCTGATATTAGATTTCTTTCAGTGATCACATTTAGTCTCACCCTCTTGCAGCCAGTTGAAAAAAAAATAAATCGGAATTATGAAAATTTCCAACTACCTGTTCATTGATTGGAATGGGTATGTCAAACTGACGGAAGCGTTGCAAGTTCTAAAGACCATTATTCAAGCTAAAATGGATGCTTATAAATAATTCAGATGTAGCCTAATTTCGAGACCCAGTGATGATAGGTCGGAGACCATTTCATGAATGTTTTGCCAATGCACAATGTGTCGGACAAGGAACTTCAAGCAAGGAGTGACTTCAACTTCAGGGACCTAGTTGAGTTTTTAAGTCTTTGAGTAAAGCCTACGAGTGAAAAAGACGTGAAGACTGGAGAAAGGGTCATGTTACGAATGATCACACCCCGAACATGTGATCACACCTAGCCTGTACATGTGACCAAACTTACTCGACGCCCGGTTTTACGGGGTAAGTGTGATCAATCTTCCTATGTTATGCTTAGCATGAATGGAACTCTGAAAGGCACTAGTTAGAAAGAGCATGGAATCTACTTTGGCATGATACAAATAATGGAATTGTATTCTGCATTACTGATCATACAGGGAACGTTGAATGAGATGCGCCGAATTAAGTACTAGATTTGAAAGATGGTACTCTTATATTTAGTCAAATATCTCTCAGCTGATCCGGTAAAATTTGATGAGATGAGATACAAACACGAATTAGTATGACAGAGGAATTCTTACTGCATTCTTTGTTGATGGCATATTGCAGTTGTAAGTACCAAAAATTAGGACTGATCACACTTACCCCGTCATCACATCTACCCCAAATGACCTTAACATGAAAATGCGTGAGCTTAATAATTTAAATAGGCCTATTTGGAAGCCATGTGATACTTCTCAGGGGACCCTCTAAGAGCGATATTTATTTAGCACCCGTATTTAGTACTGTCTGTCTGTGCCCGTCAGTGCTTAGCTTGCTACCTATTGCTGCTGTTAAGAGCGTAAGATCGACACATCTATTGCAAATGCATAACATAAAAGGAGGGACTAAGATTTTCCGTTCTTTACCGCTATTTTCCTCCGCCGGTTTCTAGGATAGGGCTGAAGTACAGGGCGAGTCAAAAGTCACTGGACGACTTTGAACAGCTACACCTCAGCAAGGAAGGCAAACGGTTTTTTGCACATGAAAGAGCGTGCGTTAATTGACGAAACAACATGAAAATTTGCATAAAATATCAATGGAAGTGGGATGAGCCTGCACAAAACGAAACGCAACATTTTTCAATATAAAAGTGATATTTAGGGTAAAACGGATGGGAAAAATTGCGATTATTTTCCATCAACTTTTGCTGCTCAAAATGGTTCTCTGATAATGCCAATGAATTTTCTTCGGAGGAACGTGTCACTATCGTTAATTTCTTCTATATCTGTGAAAGAAATATTCCCGAATTTTTCCGCCGAGTGTTAGCACGTTCCAAGTCCCGATGTTCAGAGTCCGTTGCCAAGGTCGTTTACCGTTCGATTCCGCTCCTGGTCTGCCCTTAGGACATCGTGCCGAGGGTACGCTATAGCAAGTGGCAAGCCGACCGATAGACCTGGATGTAGCATGACGGGGTCCGACGCACCCAGAGACATCGGATTGCCCCGCCCCAGTAGCCAACTTATCAATAATCACTCTGGGCGCACAGTGACTATCGCAGTCCTGATTATCCTGGGCGACGACTGAGCCAGTATGGCATACCCGAGTCGAACTCATCATGATGGATTTGGTTCCGTCTTGGTCACCTTCAACGGAAGCCCCTATAACATGGTTGGACCTGAGACACTACGGCCTTCCGCATCACTGGGGTCCATCCTCGCGACGTGGACGCGCGAACGAATGAGGATGTGCTCAATGTCATGGCCAGTAATTACAGTCATTTTTACGGCAAATAAATAAATAAATCATAATTGTTTACATTGCATATTTGTTAATAATTCCCCGCTCTTTCCTATGCAAAAAAAAACTGTTTGCAAATTAATGCATTCCTTGCTGAGTTATAGCTGTTCAAAGTCGTTCAGTGACTTTTGACTCACCCTGTATAAACCAAGCAATATTTTCAGGTTCACGCTTTCACTCTAATTTTTTCCCCCTAAGTTTTGCCTGTAAGTTTTGCCTCTCCTTTAGGCATCGGCATCGGCAGTTTGCAAACCGGCAGATGGCCGATTAAGCGCCGATAGTGTAACACCGGCGGCCGCGATGGTAGCCGATGCATCGGTACAACCCTAGAGAAAATATTATAAGTTCATACGCGTCCAAACCTAGGAAGTTTAAAAGACCGTTCTTCAAAGAATTATTATGATCTATAATGATGGTGATGAAGAACAAACTACTCGAGGTTCTCTGATGACCATCTGTCACATCCTGATCAGCTGGTCCGGAAGACAGGTGCAAAAGTTCAAAACCTGATCAAACACGGCATTCCAAGAAGCATGCTGCCCTTACCAGACACAAAAATGCCAGTACACTACAGAAAGAAGAGCTATTCGGTATCTGCATTTTATAATGCATTTCTTCAATGGAATCTCAATACGCCAAAAGAGATAGCACCATGTGCGGCCTGACCCATGAGTCCCAGGTGGATATCGTTCATCTTCATCGTGAATATCATATGCGTTGCCTATCATGATCCACACACATTTGGAATCCCCATGACCAATCTCTTATCAAAGCTGGATGCATTTGTGTCCCAGTTTAAATTTCACCTCGACTCACCAAGGTTGCAAAGAAAACAACACAACAACTTAACCGCCTGGGAATTTTGGACTGGGCTGTAGATAAAACAATGTTTAGAAATATAGAAAAGGGTCTTGAGGTTTTCAATATTCATTTATACGATGGGTGATGAGAAACTTCCAGGACTGGTTCTGTCAATTCCTTTATTCGCTGATGTGCGGATGCCTTTTCTCGTTAGAATTCAATGTTGAGTCTTTGGGGTGCATGGACTGTATTTATTACTCCTTAGATTTTATTCTATTACTTTCAGATTTTATTTTGAATGGCACGCTTGGGGAAAATGACTAAGGAAGAATGGAGAAAAAGCTAATTTAATGGGATTCAAATAGGGGCTCTATAGCGCGAGGAATTTGATAATGAGGGATAGGTATCGGGAGATCAACCTTTGATGAGTCAATTCCCAAAATTATTTTTTCTTGTCCTATCATGTTACTTATTTCATCTTGAAAGTTTCCAAAAATTTATTTCATGAAGTAGCACGTAGCATCCTCCATATATCATCTTGCATCATCTTCGAATGTATGAAAAATCCATGAGTGGGAGAAATCAAAACAACTAGGCAAATTTCCTCTTCGTTGAGGATCTACTCAATCCGGTCTCGTCGATGGGAAAACAGGATTGAGTCAAATAGCAAACAAACGTCAGTGAGGAAATTGAAGCAGAAACCCTTGTATCTAGAATTCAATCTCTTCATAGATTGTTATTGGTTCATCGGTTCACTTGGGCGTCGTATAAAAACACAGGCTAATGTCGCTTTTCTGTAGATGGCTGAATTTCCAACTAATATGTTCATAGATCTATGGTTCTAGCCATTCTTGTAATACGTAGCATAAATTAGTGTTGCTGCTATTCCTGCTGATTCTATACCCTGCTAACAGTACTTTGACTCGAAAAAAATGGAGCCAAAGCAAAATATTTAAAATTTCAAATGAAAGATTTGTATTCGGGTAAAAACCAATCATTCACGTCACACACGTTCCAGTGTCCGTCTCAAAACGACATCGTGAGTGCGCCTTCCCTCGAAAAGTACCTTCTTTAAAAACAAAGTTTGTGTGCGTCCATACCATGTTCGTCCTTCGACGATAGGCATAACTAAATAAAAAATCTCGTAATCGTCGCGAAATTAGGCAATGGAAGACATACTTCTGCTCTCCGTATCGCTGAAAAAAATCCCAAGTTCCATGCAATCAAATGTTTCATTTTTGCTTACTCACCCAGGAGAGTGCAGCAGCTCATTCTGCTCTGATAGAGGTGATTGCAGCCATGACACTCCAACCCTGTCGCGAAAATGCAAGTGAGTTTCCCTCTCATCATATCATGGTATGCATGACGAAGTGAACGGAGGATTGAAAGGGTCCATCTTACTTCATTCTCTAGTTGTTATACGAGTGTGGTTGGAGAACACTGTGAAACACCTCTTGGATGTGAGTTACTACTCTTTTTGAATCATAAAATGTCAATAAGGTGAAAACAATGAAAATCTAAATTATTTCCTTGTTGAATCCAGTGATCCTCGGTTTGGTGATCGGGATAAGTGCGTTCATGGCCATAACATTTTTGGTTGCCTATGGACTCATCAAGTATTATCGCAAACGTGACAGAAGGCTAGTGGATCTTGCGTGACATGCCAAATCACTTTTTTCATGAAAGCAAATTTAACCTGTTGGGTTTTATTTATTTATTTATAAACAGACTCTTGACCGAGGAAGGCAATGACCGAGAATGGTATGATCCGCTTCCCATGCGCTGGAATTCTGGGTTTGAAAATCCGACTATGATCCCTCGAGCGGAACCTCGGAACCGTAGGGGATATCACCACCAAAACAGACCGGATTACGAACTTGAAGAACCAAGACAACGTGTTCAACATCGCAATTGAGGCTCCTTTCCCCCATCCGGCAGGAGGTTGACGAAATGAATTCACCTATACTTTACCGAAGTGAAACATGAAATGAACTCTCCAGCGAGTCTGAACGTTTGCGTTTATGCTACTGTTCGATTTTAAAACTCCACAGTTCATACAGGGTGTCTTTTTATTATTAGCCCACAAAAAAACCCACAAAAAGGCATAACTTCCTATATGAGTAGGTTATCAAGTTGAAATTTGGCATGAACCGAGATCCAACCATGCCCAACTCACTTCCATTGCAGCATATCCTGGATGATTCCCTTGTTCTCATGCACAATTGAACATGACGCTGCAAGTTTTTTAAAGTACGGTGTAGTACATCAACAGGAAAGCTAAATGAAAATTAAAACAACAATAGGTGCTGTTTTTAATGTTCTCATTTAGCTGCTGAACGGTGTGGTTGTTGCAGTAAACAGTTTCCACCAAGTAACTCCATTATTGATTATTTAATTTTTTCAATTTTTGATAAAATTCGCTATTGGTTCGAAGACATTGAACTCACCCAGGGTTGCTTGCAGAAGGACGGTGCCAGATGCCCTATCTCATAGAGGAGCATGGAGCATTTTCAGTCGTTCTTTGAAGACGGAATCATATCGAAATACCTATGGTCACGAAAATCTTCTAATTTCACACCACCCGATTACTTTCTTTTCGTGCTTAATTAACGTCATCGAAACAGCAATCAAACCATTCCACAGCTAAAGGGGAACTATAAACATCATTTGGGACTTTCCTCTTGATGTACAACGCTGTACTTTTGAGAACTTGCAGCGTCATGTTCAATTGTGCATAGAGAACGAGGGGTTCAATTCCAGCATCTGCTGCAATAAAGGTGAGTTGTGCATGGTTGGATCTCATTTCAGGCCAAATTTCAATTTGCTAGCTTTATTATGAAGGTAGTTATGCCATTTTTCGTTGGTTGCGCTAATAAAAATAAGCCCTGTATTATCTTTAGCAGGGTCCTTTATTGCAAGAAAGCTATCTGTCGCACCAGCACCAGTGTAGAGAGCGAGTCACTGGAACAATTCACTTGAATTCGTCAAGTTTACTATGAGGGAAATACCGCGGGTATCAGAGATTTTCTAACGGAAAATGAAATGAGTCGCTTAATTCTAATAAAAGGAATTCTGTTTTATTATGAAATGCCAGCAAAGCAAGACAGGAGGTGTTTGGACTTCACCGATTAGTTGGCCAATTGATATGGATTGTGCGATAATTGACTGATTTGAGGTAAATATTTAAATGGACTCGATCAGCCCCTAAGAGTTCTACGTTCACTTGATGCTTCTATTGACCAGGGGTTGCGATAAATTTCTGAGTCATATCTTCCTGCCCTACTTGCTTAATAACGAAGTTTATGAGATTTTATGATTCTCTAGCCACCATAAAGAACAAAAAAACCAAGGACATGCACATAAAATGCAAATGCGAGAAGGTGCCAGGTGAACCGCATAGCAACTTTCCATTTGTGATTGAATTGACCAACCCAAGGAACAAGGGATCATCCCATGGACGTCCCTAATAGATCCTGGCGCCCCACACCCCGCAACTGACATCCCATGGACATATGAGGAATTTTGGCGCATAGGACGACAGTTAGTCACCCCATGTGGCGTCCTGGGGCAGGGAGTCATGGACGCTCCCCCCCCCCCCTTGGCTTTTTCCCTCATTGTGTCGGTCATTTCTTCAGTCCCTTGAATTAGTGCCTGCGTATCCACTAAGTTTGACCCCCCCTCAGTTTAACCCTTTGCGGTCTTAGTCCGGACCTAGTCCGACAATCTCCATAGCGTTACAAATAAAATCGACCGGAAAGGGTTAAGTGAATCCGAACGGCAAAAGCCCAGTCAACATTTTTTATTCAAATATGCGGAATAGCCATGAGCTCTTGAGTATCCCCAAGAGTATTCATTGACACGCTCATGGGTCACCCTCTATAATTACAACACTGCTTTTCTTGCTTTGCGAGATGCAAAGAACACGATGATATTGTAAAAATCCACTTCCTTTGCTACTTGATGTTCAATGGAGAGCATAGCAAGGCTTACAGAGCCCTTCCTGGCCCATCATGGATCGGATATGTCTTGATAGGCTCAGGCTTGCTGAAGCCTCTCACATGAAGCAATTGATGAGGTAGGGGAAGAAAAATCCTTAGAGCTATCTCCAAGTTAGGATACGCATCGACAAGTCGTTTTTGATGGGTTAAATTCAGAAGATCCAGTGGTGAGGCATGACTGAAGTTTCGGTCCAGATATGGTCCATGATGTTGAAAGCTTTCCATCTCTGAGTGAAGTTCAACTGCATTCAAATCGTTTGGGTATGCCATAGCCAAATCTTTAGCGTGCTTTTGAAGCTTTTCAATGGGGCAGTTGAACATGGTACTACCGTTCAGGAAGCTGAAATCATCACAAACAGACCGAAAACTCTGAAAGCGCCATTCAAGCTCACTCAAAAAAACAATTATGGCTTCCAATGTTTGCATTCCGAACAACTCTTCTTGGGAGAGGCCACCAGCTTCATCGATGGGTTCTTTGGGTATTCTTTCCTTTCGATGGCATCTCCTGATGGGAAAGGTGTCTTCAATGCCTAATTTCAGACATTGTTTCCTTGCTTTCATCAGAGCCTCAGAAATCACGGACTCTCGAACTGACTGCATGGTACTCCTAAGCCTCAAGATATGGGAAGCTGAATCTGCTATTATGCATGCAGGGGGTTGCAGGAGCCTGTTGACACTATCCACCTGAGCGAGTATCCGACTCCAGATATGCAGCAGAGTCAAGAAGGGGAGAGTTGTCCTTTCATTAGCTAGCGATTCAGTTTCAGAGACTGCTTCTGGGTGACCTGAGTCGCTGGAAATCTTATCCAATGCACTGAGGACTCCTTTAAATTGTTGCTTTAACGTAGAAACCGCATCAGCTCTTGACAACCATCTTGCTTCAGTATGGCTCTTCACAATTACAGAGCAGCACGATTTCAAGGCTTCCCAACTGTACGTTGAACCAGAAAAGAAGACAAAAAGATGTTCAACCAGTTCGTAAAAGTTCTTCATTTGAAAGTTGGCTTTGGACGCATGGAATCCAGCTCGATTCAGAGTGAGGACAAGGAGTAAATCGAGCAAGGGGATTTCCCCCCAAAATCCTTGCCTGTACACCCATGTACTACTCAGTCATATTGCTTCCATTATCATAACTTTGGTCCCTACAATCTGCCAAATTGAAGCCATCGTCTTTCAACTTCCCGACGATACTGTGACTGAGAGCTCTTTCTGTTTTTTCATGGACGATGAAAAAACCCAGGAAGCTTTCCTATTTTGAGCATCCTTCTTTGCTGATCTGGACGTATCTAATGACCTCGCACATTTGCTCAATGTGAGACACATCTGGAGTAGTGTCAAACATGATCGAGAAGTACTTCGCTTCCCTAATCCTGGAAACGATAGCACTCTTCCTCTTTCCTTAGAGATCATTCAAAACTCATTCTGCACAGCAGGAGATAAGTACGATATTTCACAGGACCATACTTACTATTTCAATTTTGGTTATCAATCGATTATCAAATTCCCTTTGCAAAGAAGGGGAATTTTGGGAATTAAGGGAAGGGAATAAGAGATCTGTTCAGGGAATTTTGTCAGGACGTGGATGTTGAAGGTAAAAGATCAAAGCAAAAAATATATATATATTCCATGAACTTTTTCACAAGAATAAGTTCAATTAGGACTGTAGAATTTGAAGAAAAAAAAACTGAAAAAGTGACAGGAAGATAAGGTGACGTTTTACTGCAATTTTCGAAAAAAAAACCATTGAATTAGAATGCATAGTTAAGTGGAATAGGAGTAATTTGAAGTTTTTTTTCAGGAGGGGAGCAGGAGGGCACTGTTTCCTTCTCCATGAAAAAACTTCCCTTTCGAAATTTTTCGTCCATAATGTACCTTTTGGAACACAACAGTAACGAAAAAGTAATTGGAGAAAGGAAATAAAGGGAACCGCCCTAACCCATCTCCCCTTCCCCCAAAAATGTGCCCTTAGAGGATGTCCCTCACAAAACGTCCACCCCCTATCCACCTAGTCAAACAACCAGATGAATAGGGGGTGGATTTGAAACCAGGTGGACGTCCCTCCAGGTGGAAATCCAACTAAATATTCGCGAACACGCAATTCGAGCCAGGTGGATTTTCCCTCCCGGTTGATTTTCGGCCGGGTGGACATCGCTCCAACAGGTGGAAATACCGCCTAGGGGGACATTCACCTGGTTCTAAATCCACTTGGTAGGTGGACGTTTTGTAAGGGGTACCCCAATTGTAGGATTCTTCCTGACGTCAGCATCCTAACAATTATTTGTGCACTGAATTCCAGTTTTCTGTAATATCTAAAGCATACTTAGAATTAGTGCCATCGCTGTCATTCATTCACGATCGTCTGTTTGTAGATACATAAACGTTCGACTTTGACACAGGACGTCATAATGGGCGAGTGTGTCTCTTCAAGTTCCTATCTAAACCTAGAACATTGAACTCTTGAATGCAAGTTCCACCACAATTTGACTACAAAACGAGCATGCAAATTTATGGTTAATCTAAGCAAGCGGTGAACTTTCCTTGATGAATCCATTGATCCGAGTGGATTGGCAGCTGAGATAGCTATAGTCATGGTCCGTGGGCTCCTTGTCACTAATCTGGCCATCAAGCACCAATGAAACATGGTGCCAAGTTAGTAATTTCTTAGTTCCCATGCAGAGCCACAGTCTTAATTTAGGGAAATTTAACACGGTGGGTTTTATCTTTTGCCATAGAGGCAACTGGTTGATGAAGGTCAAATTTCAAGATTCATATCCCTTGCAGGACCCATTTCAGGACCCAGAATCTGATGAGTCCTCAAGTGGAACTTCCAATTCACCAGGATTATTGTATTGTAAGGATAACCAGTGGGGTATCCTTAAAATTGTACGCTAGATGAGGAACCATATAAATCAAAGGAGTGTATTTTGGATTAATACTGTTTCTTCCAACTTGGATTTCTTTGATTAGGCGAATTAATCTACACTTCTCAGAAGCCCGTGCAAAAGCACGGAAGAATTTGAAGGCAATGAATGCGAACATGGCTATGGGGTGCGGTCACCATCCCCAACCACTGGCTGGCCATGTGAGAAGATAGGAGCGCGGCAAAATACCCCTAATTTCTCGAATGTCTACCTCTGCGCTTCGTTAATCGTCATGGAGAGAGGCAGAGCGCATAGGAACTGACTCCGAGTGAAGACGAAGGGGAGCTCAAATATCAAGACGTTAACTTTGAATTGTCGCTTTGTATGGCAATGTGGTATGTGGGATTTTATTGGCGGCCTCACGCTGCACTGGGGACATTGCAACCCGCTACGCACGTTTCCGAACGTTAGTGGCCTCTGGCCACGCTGCGTAAACCTATTGCTTTGGCTATGGGAGAGCACACGCAATCGCGCCGTGCGCACACGTGTGTCGTGAACGCGCGCGCATGCCACCGACCACCAACACCACCACCACCACCACCACCACGGACCACAATATATATTATTATGTAGATTTCTGCATTGAGACATGAAATGTAATCTGTGACTTCTTGAGTGATCTTGGTCAATTGTGATGATTTCACTATTTAAATATCCATCCATAGCGTATCTCATCTTTGACACAACTCTTCATTGCAAGCTACTTTGCTCTAAATCCAGTACTCAGAGAACAACTGACTTGAGTTCACATACAACATGAGTCACAAACAGTGATCAGTCAAAGAAATCCTCAATGTCGATGCTTGGATTGAGGAGATCATCTTTGAAGGAGGATAGATTCATCTGATAGAGAAGGTTCTCAGAGACTTGTATCTCCTATAAGAATGGCTCCCTTCAGATTCCCATCTTTCAGGATAGCCTTCACATATTCCTCTCCTTCAGTATAGACCAAAAGTGACAAGATTAAATACAGGCTTATCAACAATTCAAGGCAGGACAGATAATATTTAAGACGCCGAAAAAGCTCGACAAATTGGACCGATTTTTGTGCGAAAATGGCAACTAATTGACATGTCTACCAGTCGCATCGATGAAAGAGAGACGTTTGGCTCTTATTGATTCAGAGGGAGATCGAGTCAATTATTGAATATTGTATTTCTACAAAATATTGTATGGGGAATCTGTGAAAAAAAATTCTTCGGAATTTATCGCTTCCAGCAGTTGAAACGCATCAAAATCTGAAGGCAATTTTTTATTGCACTCCACTGTATAACCCTCGATTTCCCCTAGTGCATAGAAATAAATTCTGTCTTTTCTGGGATAAGTTAATCCACGTTGCTGGTGGGATTTTTTTACTCTGAAAAATTATGACCTGGGGCTCGTCCACACCAGAAAAGTTTTCTTGCGTAGACACAGATAGAATATTGCAAAATAAACGTTGAAAGAGAACTTTCATGGCGGGGACGCACTTGAAAGGCTTTTCTGCCAGGTTTTTTATTTGTCAGAGCGTTGTCCTCACCAATGTTTCTGAAAGTGAGGTATTCAAGATTGCTCCCTTCGCAAGGAAACAACATGTGGCAACGGCAGTCGTGACGATTCTTCTTTTAAAAAAACACGGAGGCACCGCCGCCCCCAGTAGCACCAGATGTTGGCCCAATGCAGGGCCAACATTGGCTACATTGGTCCTGCTTTGGGCCAACATCTTATGCTACTGGGGGCTCGATTTGGGTTCAGAACTTCTTGCAACGGAGATCCGAACAATGCGCTTATTCGGCTTTCATGAGAGAGCTTCGGATTGAAGACCTCCTTGGATTTAGGAATTTTGCACGAATGAGGATGCATGATTTTGAGGAACTTCTGAGACGAGTTGACCGCTTATTCCGAAAAAGTACACTCGCTATCGTGATTCCATTTCGGCTAGAGAGGCTGGCAGTAACTCAGAGAATTTTGGCGAGTTGAGACAACTTTACCAACCTGGTGTACCTCATCCATGCATCAAAGTAATCTATCTTTCTCGATTTGTCCACTTCTACGAATTTTTCTTTGCACTTACACCACCAGTACTTCCAATTACGTTGCAAGATTAGACTGGGCATCTTGCCTTATTTTCTTGTCCTTGTACAGAACACTTCTAACGTCCCAAAGACAATCTTCATTCAAGTCAGCAGTCTTTTCCCTGTCCCACTCTGCTGTCGACGCTGAAAACTTTCACTTTCTATGCAAGAAAAGTAGACTGGGTATCTACTTTTGAAAGTCTCTTGTAAAGATTACTTGGAAAAAAAATTACAAGTAAAACTTTCAAAGACATTCTCTCCATGATTTAATTATTTAGCATCACATTGCAGCTCCTTGAAAGATGGAGCTGTGCTGTACGATCATAACTTAATGAACGTTGAAGTGATCTTGGTCATTTGTGATAAATTCACTACTTTATTATTTTTTAAATCCATCCATTGCATATCTCATCTTTGAAAGGATTCTTCATTGTAAGCCGCTTTGCTCTCAAAGTGCTCTCTCTTTGCTCCAGTACTTGTGTAGAGAGCAACAGTCAACTTGAGTTCACACACAGTTTGAGTCACAGTGATCAGTCAAAGAAATCCTCAATGTCGATGTTGGGGTTAAGGAGATCATCTTTGAAGGGAGATAGGTCCATCTGATTGAGAAGAAGGTTTTCAAATGTCTCCTCGAGATTTGTATCTCCTATGAGGATGGCTCCCTTCAGCTTCCCATCTTTCAGGATTGCCTTCACATATTCCTCTCCTTCAACATTAGTCAAAAATGACTAAATTATATACAGGCTTATCAACAGTTAAAACAGTATAGAAAAGAGATCATTTAAGAGGTCTCAAGTAAACATATACCTTTGGTGACACGGAGGAGGACCTCATAGTCGGTGCCAAGTCCCTGGCCATTGAAGAGGCCAAGGAGGACAACCTTGAAGCCAAAGAACTGGGTCATGTGGGCAAAGACTTCAAAGGCAAAATCACTCCAGGTGTGTCCCTGCTCATTCTTAAAAGATGCCACCATGCAATTGGCCGCATGATGGCCCATCTGCCTCGCTTGAGTCCAAAGACGCATCTACAAATCCCAGTTGTGGCTTGATATAATTCATATACTCATGGAATGTCTCAAAGCTCTAAAACAATGGACATAGTAGAATACAATTATTCTCAGTTCACAAGTTCTGTGTCAATATTTCAATGTATTCACCATGGAGACATTCATGAAAATTAAGGTCTTGAAAATGTTGTATACATTGAAATATATTATACCGAGCAAGATCACGGTCACAAATCTTTCAACCATCATTCTATTCATTATTTTAAAATTACATGCTAAGAAGATGAGATGGATGCAAAACCCCTTTTTTTTCACTGAACACATACCAATTAATATAATGTTGTTAGAAAAGCATTACTGGTGCATTTGCAAGCCCCTCTGTTTCTATCACTGAATACTGGTTCTACTGTAGGGTGAGACACAGTAACATATCCTCAATGATCTCTGTAAAAGTAATAAATTTCTATTATCATCAAATATTCTCAACAAAATAATTTAAGTTTTGAACAAATGGAAGGGAATACAGAAGGATCATATCCATTTTGTGGGATCAATCTTCTCACTGGTAAGACCCAATAGTACAATTATACTATTAAACTTGACTAAGAAGGATCTTAAGGGTATTCAGTTCTCTTGAGATGACAGTGTGAAAGCTCTGGCAAGAAAGGGACTGCAGTTGAAGAATTTCCAGAAGTCCCTCCGATGATTTTACTAATGAAAAAATATACAAGGGTCAGTACGAAAGTAATGCCTCTTAAATTTTTTCTCTGGACTCATGCATGGAAGACCGCCGAAAAAATTATTAGGTAAAGATTTTTATTTGCCGTCCTTGCTGCGTCAGTTTTCCGGAAAGATATCAGTTGGAAGTACCACTGCACCCCGTTCAAAATGGCTGTTTCCCTTGATGCCCAAACAAAGCAGATTGTTTTCAAATTTCTGACTGCAGAGGGAAAACATTCATAGGCGACTGGAAGACGTTAATGGGACCTCTCCCGTTGATGTGAGCACAATGAGAGGGTGGGCAAACGGGGTCAAGAGTGGAAAAACCGACTTGAAAGACAAGCCACACAGCGGTCGCCATTTTTACAGAGTTTTACGCTGTTTTACAGAGACGGCATACTCTGTTGTCTGTTGAACGCGATGGACTACAAGGAAAAATAGCCATATATAGGGTGACCCAAAAAAATCATACCAAACTTTGAAAACGACCTCCTCCCAGCTCTCTCCCAAAAATGAGCCCGGTATGTTTTTTTGGGGGTCACCCTGTATGTAAAAGGGCTTGGTCTATTTTCCAGCCAAATTTCATCATTTTTGCTTGAAAGGTTATTGAGAAAAAATGCGCAGGCATTACTTTCGTACTGACCCTCATATATTCCAGAGGGAATTGTAGAGCACAAGAATTTTCTTGCTGGAACTATTTGAATCACATGAATAACTTACATCTCGAAGGGTGAAAAGTATATGATTTTCACCAATAGAGGCTTTCATCCTCTATTATCCAATTAAAACAACAAATATCCAAATCCCAACAAATCTCCAAATGGTATCACAAGAGGAAGGATGAGCAACCTGGAACCAGAGGGGAGAGCGTTGCCAAGCAGGGGTGCAGACATCCCCAGCAGCAAAGACGTCAGCAACGGAGGTTCTCATCTCCTTATCAACCATGATCCCTACATCCTCTGGGCTCACCTTCAGCTCTGTGACCTTTGACAAGACTTTTGGGAATGATGGAATGACCCCTGTTGCTGAAACCAGAAAGTCACAGCCATAGATCTTCCCATTGGTCAGCTCCACATACAATGGCCATGTCTCCTCTGGAATATATAAATAAGAAAATTAACTTCATGGTTAAAATTAGATGGCAAGGAAGCATATCTAATTCCTTAAGGATATATAAGTAGATGAAAGTATGCAGGAATCCAATTACTTGCATTTTACATGCCTGGTTCAGTTTCAGCCTGTGCCTCATAACCCCTTAAAAAACAGAAGCTCCTTCTGCACTTCTTCGGTGGATGTACCCCTGCCCCGGCAAACAATTTGAAACACAACGTTGAATCAACATTGAATAAACGTTCGGGACGTTGATACAATGTTGGTCCAACGTAGCCTTGTTTGCTGGGTCCTTTCCTGTCAACTGCTTGAAGATTTGAGCTGCGATCAAGGTGAACTTTACATAGGTAGAAGTTTAGCCTTCTTTCGTTGAGTATACAATGTGAGGACTCATGCAGGAGTCTTGCCAGAGACATCAATGAAAGATGGAAGAGTCTTTCCCAACTGTTGCATTTTTCAACAACTTGGGTTTTTTTTTTTGGGGGGGGGGGGGGTTCAATTTTCCCTGTCTCCAGGCCAGCAACAATATTTTATCAGAAATTGGTGAATGTCAACAACAGCGGTCAATTTTGGAGAAAAAGTTCATTTGATACCTGATACTTTGCAATTGTAATTTACATATTTATCTATAAGGTGTGATAATAACAATACCCAAAGGGCATCCAAGGATGACATACAGCGTGACATAAGGACTTAATATGAAAGTAGTGAGGCATTTGCTATTGACACCTAGATGTAAAAACGATGATGGCCATAATTGCTCATCAACCCTGTTGATAGGTGATGGTTTGTAGGGTTCATTGAGAAACTAATCTGAAAACATTTTTAGCTTCCTAGGTCAAGCGCTTTTAGAAGTACCTCGATTTGAATATTACCAGAGAGTGTTGATTTCTGGTCTGGTGGTCATCACTAAGGTGCACATAAGTTTTTTCCTAAAAACATCGAGATTAAATTAGCGTCATTTTGTAGCTCTTTTAATGTCTTTCAAGACGAAACGTGCTTCATGAAGTTTACATGGTATTGAAAACTTTCGCGAAATCTAAGCAGACAATGTCCACGGGATTCCCGTTATTCCTCTGTAGGGAATATCAGATCGGCTTGGAATCGCACATACTGTCACTCATACTCCTGCTCGAGCATCACGATACTCCAAATCATCTGCTTAAGCTTGGCGATGAGTTAAGGCAAGACTTAAGGGTATCGTTAGTCTCGACGCGCAGAACCACCAACACCACCTATGCTGACTCCGCAGACACCATCGCCCCAATCTTGCATTTTGGGCATTAAGGGCATATCTCTGATATGCCCTATCTTTGCTCCGAAAAACGGAGCTAAAGTAATCGATACCTGTACGCACGAGTCGTTCTCTAGAGCTGCTTCTAAACGCTTAACGCTGAAATCTTCAACGAGGAGCACAGGTCGCAATTTTTTGTTTCCTCAAGGCGACCACCAATTTTCAGGTTCCTGAAACTAGAGAGAAAATCGAGTACAGACCATCTAGGGAAAAGGAATTATTGCATTTCTCCGTTTCCACTGTGACCCCTATGCGACCCACAGTTTGAGAACCCCTGGTCTAGCTGTTAACTCCCTTAGCTGGTCCTCCAAGGCACAAACGCGACAGACCTCCTCACTAGCAGCACTTAACCTAGCCCGAAATCTAATGCACTACCGATTTATTCTTCGATTATTTTGTACGATTCGTTACTGCAGATCCTCCCTTAAGTTACCTGATATTCGTACTACTGATAATACAGGCATACCTATAACTCGCCCGGCTCTCATAACCGTTCCCTGACAAGCAAGAAATGAAACCGCTTACCTCAATGAGCACACCAGAAAAAAATGAAAAAACCCGCTAAGAGATACAACTGGTAATAAATTACAACACTAATTAAAACGAGTCTCTTATTTACACTTATGGATAAGCAGCCAAAGACTTCCTGTCCTCTGGAGTGATAGACACACTATTGCTAACTTATGATCGTGCTGACAGACCTAGAGGGTACATACCCACACACTACGAACGCTCGCGGAAGGTCATGACCAGACTCACTACCTCAGGGATAGCAAGAGAAAAAAATCGTTCTACTCGTTTGTGAATTTGAATGCAACATTGGCTTGGCTTGCAATGCCACGAATGGGAAAGGTCGAGTTTTGCATATTCGGCATAAAAATGTTGCAAATGGAGTTTATTTATCGCGTTGTTCAAGTTCAGAGAAATTGTACAGAGAGGATATGATCAATAACTCAAGTTTTCATGACTAGACTAGACTCATATGGAGACTCACGAGATTTACATTTACATACAGTGTGCTTTTTTAATACCCATTCTCCATGTCATAGAGACAGTTTTGGTGGGGTAATAAGAGCATGAAGCTTTTCGGTATTAGATTTATTCTATTTCTGAATACTCCTCGTGATTCTCCTTCGTAACTGGAATCGAAAATGCCACGGATAATCATCAAACTCTTCATGGTTTTGGAGTTGCACTTGATTGGAGACTACAGTCCCTCACCAAAAATAAACAAAACACTAGAGGCCGCACTTCAAACCTAACACAGATCAGACACATGCAGTGGTTTCAGCCTTTTTCGATGATATGGTTAGTCTTGTCGATAGGATGGCTAAGTGCGATACCTGCTTCGAGTGCTATAGGTGTGGTTGTGCTCATGATGGGATTCGCGTTGAAGTTTAACTAGCTTACAAGAGAGGTGTGCCGGGGAATCCCATGGCAATAACGAAGAAACGACGACAGAGCGCGAGCAAACACCCGCATAAGGAAGGTGCTCTCGCTGAATTAACTACTGAAATACAAGCAGATTAATGTGGTGGGATAATAACAACAGTGATAATAGTTGTTCTTCTTCGAAGAAAATAGAAGGAAAAAATAAGAACAATCCAACGTTATTGAGAAGGTGGACTGGTTTCCTCGATCTTGGATCCTTGAAGGACAATGCCGAGAAAAAGCTACCCTAACTGGGATTCCGAACTAATCCGCGAAGCTAGAGAAAGAAGTTGTTTATTTTTTTATTTACAAGGTGTGGCCACCCCCTCAAACTCCGTACTTTTGCGTCCAAATACCTCATGAGTGACTCATTCTCCAAAACAAAGTGTTTTTAGTCTCAAGACACCATGCCTTTTCTTGGAATGCAATATTTTTTACTCTACATATAATACCGGGAAGGGTTGCTGATGGTAACCCCCACAAAAATACCCTATTTTGGTCTCTTTGACTCAGCGAATGGGTGTTCAACATATAATTTGAAAAAGAACGGTCATCCATGAAGCTAGGAACAGGAAACTTGGCAAGTCACAAGTTGTTGGTGAAAATTTATCCCCACCAGGGTGCAGCACCGTAGCAACATGACAATGTACAGAGTGAGTCAAAACTCCTGTTCACTTTTTGAACGTTAGTAACTTTTCTATGCCTTATCTGAGCGAGATTCAGTTTTTACCATTCGAAAGACTGGGCAATTCTGTATCTAAGAGGAAAGGATTTTTGCATTTTTTTGCCGAATCCTTCTGAAATGAAATCCCTATACTGAGAATTATACCGGATGGCCCCCCCAAAAAGTTCCGAACTTTACACGCCTGCAGACGGTGTACCATATGAGTTATCGACAGGAAATTTACAGGTTTTTATATGCAATGTTTGCAGGTAATGTAAGAAAAATGTAATTGAAATTGGTTGTAAATTATGTGAGTAAAAATTTTTCTCCCGCGCTAAGTCAAAAGAGCGAGTGTGCAGAGGAACGCGCCTGAACTCAATGAAAGAACTGCTTGTTGGGTCCTCTATGGATAGGTCCTCCTTGGAACGCCCGCCGAGGCAGCACGCCGGCACACGCACTGACACATTTGCTCATTTGACGACTTGTACGGAAAAAGCTCTTACTCATGTTCAGAGCAAGGGATTTCATTGAAATTTTCCTAAAGCCACCTATCTATACTCAGTATGACGTACGGAAAATTTCAAGACGATCCTTAACATGGTGGCCCGTCTGCAGCCGCACGAAGTTCGGAACGGTTTTTTTGGGCCACCCGGGTATAAAGGCATTGACACTTGAAAACACGCTTGCGGCACCATGTCCATTTGCCTTTTCGAGTGTCAGAGTTATTGTACCTCAGCTGTGATCAATTCCAATTCAAGGATAATTGAGGAAAATGGCTGAGAAACTACTGACCATTGATAAGCGAGTCGCAATAGTTCGGCTTTACTCCGAATGCGACGGATATCGCTCCACAATTCAGTAAAAAATTCAACGGAGAAACCTTCAGCCTCAAGTTGGTCGTCCATATCAACTCGAATTTTGACGGGACAGGGATCTTACCAGACCTTTCCCGATCTGGACCCCCTCTGACATTGAAGCAGACAATTGGACACGGGACTGCAGGCGTGTTGTCAGGAGCTAATGCGTTCATACAGTATAACCCCCCAGAATAGGAATTTCATTTCATATGGATACTATTGGCGAAATAATGCAAAAATTCATTCATTATATTCAGAATTATCTATTAATTCCAATGGTGAAAACTGTATCTCGATCATATCTAGCGTTGAGAAGTTATTAACGTTCAAAGGTGGGTAGGACTTTTGACTAGCCCAGTTTAGTGTACATCAGAGAGTCTTTATTGTTAAATGCTTCCATTTAAGTGGAAATTCCATTATCACCGTGCAACAAGGGCTTCGTAGTTCATATTGGTGGCGGCTGAAAAGGAAATGGTTTAGCAGCTGGAGAACCAATTTCAAATCAAGTCATCATGTTCTGTGGGGCTACTTGAAGGATTGAGTGTTTGAACATCACCCACAGACAATTGAGAAGTTAAAGGAAGAGATAGCGAGGGAGATTATTAAAATTCTGAGAATACACGGCAGGGACTTTTCTACCATGATTCCTGAAACTACCAAGTTGTCTTCTCCGTCTTCAAACATAATTGATTACTATGACATGTTTCAAAATGTGCAGCATGCATGCCAAAGGATAATTGCGGATGTGACTTATGAAGCATGACATCCACATGGAGAGCAAAACAGAGGAGAAGAAACCACACAAGAGTAAGCCCTTATTAATAATAAATGACCATAAGTTACATTACTGAGTGGTCGTTTTACAGATTTTTAGCATCAGCAATGGCAGGACCTTTTTTTCTCTTTCTGGCTCTTTTCTGAACAGCTTGTTTGTTTATTCATTGATTATGTTAGCACATGACATACAATTCAGTCCAGATATGCTTCCTTTCTTCCAATTGAGCAGGTTTTATTTAAAAAATAAAAAAAAATATGAAGATGATGGAAGAATTAGCTCCAAATTCATTCATTGCTAAAATAGTCTTATATTCACCAAATTTGGAAGAGTGAAATGAACATGGAGGTGAATGAGAGTGACCTTGGCGTTGCGCCTCGGTTGGTGAGAGAAAACGCAGGACCTGGGTTTCTGTTTCCAGGGTGAGATTTCGCTTGCACAAATCACCTCGCCCTTTCAGATTCACATCCAGGTGCCAGTCTGGTCCCAATGCACTCCCAAGTCCCTCACTGTATTCCTTCCCTGCATTTTTAAGCATTCTCAGTCAACCAAAGCAGCACTTTAAAACTGGATTCCTTTCTAGGAGAAAGGAGAGCAGAGAGGGGGGTGAGTGTCTGGAAACCTGATAGATTGAACTGCTGCCGTTTGGAGATGGTTTCTTTCTTCTTAGGAGCATTGACTTGATGAAGGAAGAACTGGCCTGCTCCTGGGTCAACAAATGTTGCTGTCATGCTCTTGTCTTTCAGCACCCATATTACCTGTATCCCTTCCAGCTCATAACTAATACATATAGAAATATTTGTATATTAACCTCAAGAATGATTTGAAGCTCTTTCAGATAAACCAAAAATTTAAAAAAATTTCTATGCTGGTCTGAGAAATAGAGCATGATCTTCCCAAATGATTACTGACTGCACCACATGAAATGATTCAATGAATCGTATTTTTGACATTACTATTCTTCATGACAATATTAACATGTTCACAGCAGTATAAGTGACTCATACAGCAAAACAAATATCAGTGACTCATCTGCAGTTTCATACCAATAGGCATTTTGGTCTGAATGTGTTGAAAGTGTTTGCTCCCATATCTCTACCCTTACTTTGCTGAAGGAATAACACAACTCACTTTAAGAAAAACAATAATTTTGATGATGATCCCATGGAAATTCTCTATTCTCTCTCTCAATTCTATTCTCATAGGGAACATACACAAGTTCAGTGGCAATGCCTCCATTTCCAACCAGGATGATGCGGGATGCATCCTTGAGACGATTCTGAAAGAGTTGCACTGATTCTGTGTCTCGAATCCCAAGGACATGAGGATGATTCTCAGCAATGAGTTTTGGTGTGCCTCCACTACAGATGCACAACTTCTTGTACTTCACAAGCTGTCCACTTGATAAATGTGCCATCTGTAAGATATACCAAGTTCCCACTGCAAACTCTTGTATAACTGTCTTCATGATTTAAGCTTTGTACGTGACTTAAAGGAGATGAAGAGTCAGATATACTCCAGATGAAACAAATCTTTCTTCACGTTTCCCTGCATGTGACGTGATGCAGACCAGTGCAGACCAGTGTAGCATGTCCATAATGCAGTTTGATCCAGCAACAAAGAAATTTAAGAAAAAAACAACTCTTTCAAAATGACTCCATCTCACTTTGTAGCTTCTACTTCTGCATGACATGGAAGCAGCTTGAACCTGTCAAACAAAATGATTTGAAACACAGCTAACATCCATGGAAATGAAACCTTTTCTCTTCACTTGGACAGCAAACTTGAAAGCTGCTTATTCAAGAAAAGTAGATCTCTAGAAAACTGATGAGATAATTGATAAGCAACACATCCTTGTAGGAATACTAAATTGATTAAAATGTATGGAAACAGGATGATGGCTGCATTGAGTTTGCCATAATAAAAAAAAAAAAACGGAAAGCTTCATCTTCAAGGTTGAATCTATGTCATCCAATAAGAGTTCATTAACATCCCAATGGAGGCACACAAGGAAGAAAAATACTACAAAGAAAAGTTTGATTGAACACTTGCACAATTGTGTACATTTGTGAAACCATCTTCAGGACAGAGTGACAATAAAATAAAAAAGCCTCATTCATACCTTCCCTCATTCCTTGTGCAGCTAGTAGTCTAATTGGAGCTATACTACATGCTGAATTGCTGTTAACCCTTTGAGGAGTGGGTTTTTTAATGCCTAGGAGATCACCCGTAGTGAATACAAGGAGGGCAGGAAAATGTCAGCCCGTATATATAAGGGCATACTCTTCAAAGGCTTAATAAGTTGTGTTTCAAGCTGCATAACATTTCATTGTCAATTTTCTCAGCACACAAGTATAAACTTGGATAAAAGAAGCATGTCAGTTCATTCTCTCTTATTATCAGAGCTAACTTCAATTGCAAGAAAAAAAGTATGATTCACACAAAATCCATTTTGAAATATATCATTTCAGGTTTTCAAGTTCTGTAGAAAGCATGAGTTGCCAAGAATTACCATGGGATAATATTGCAACAAGTTAAACGGAGACACCAGAAAATAAAAAAACAAAGCCTAGTCCAGAAGTAAGCCTCCTTTCATTTAAAAAACATGAAATTTTGGTCAATATGGATAAGACAAGGAAGTGGGAGGAGGAGAGTAGCAGAAAATGTGCAGAGATGGTGCAGACAAGCATGATAAGATAGAATTTAAGGACCTTGTCCATTCTGCTCTGCAAGTTTCCACATATGAAGTTCATCTTAAGTAGGCTGATCAAAAAGGAATGGAAATTAGGGTGCAGCTTAAATAATGCTAATTGAAATTGTAGGTCACTCTGCAGGTGTCAACTATATTCACTTTGAGACTCATTATAAAAATGTCAGTTTTTTATTATTTAAGGAACACTGTTGGTGATCCAAAGAAATTGCCATAGTAACTTTTGGCCGATTTTTCTGGAGTGCCAGCACTGGAGCAGAGGGCAAACATGAAGCTCTGAAAATCGTTCACTAAGACTCTCGAGCTTTTGCAGCAGGTGTATGTATGTATAGCAGGTGTTTGCAGCAGATGTCTGTGTGTACATCTGCTGCACATGCTCAAGAGTCTGGGTGAATGATTTTCAAACTTCATGTTTGCTCTCTGCTCCAGTGCTGGCACTCCAGAAAAATCAGCCAAAAGTTACTAATGATGGCAATTTTTTTGGATCACCAACAGAGTCCCTTAAGTGAAAAGACAACTGAAATTTTTACCATGAGTTGCAAAGTGAATATAGTTAAGGCCTGCAGAGTGGCCAACGATACTGATGAGCATTGTTTGAGCCGCAGCCAAAGTTCAGTTTCTTTTTGATCAGCCTATGTAATAAAAAATTGCTGAATATTTTTGACCAAACTATAGTAGTTAAAAAATATATATTACCACAAGTTTGAAAAATATTTAATCAAGTCTTAAGTGGGAGTGCCACCACAAATACCAATTAAAGTTTCATATTGATATACAGGGTGTCCCATAATTCACTATACCATTTCAAAAAACCACAACTATTCAATACTAAACAGTTGGCACAAAAAATAAGTAACATTAACGGCATGATAGCATACCATTTGGAATTATCTTTGTCAAGAATGGAGGCAATTCAGAGTTTTGAAAGTGCCTCAAAATGCCCTCCACCATACATTTGACATGAGGCGTGGTACCAAAGAATCACCTGCACTTCCTTTGAACTCTTGGGATTCTCAAAGACCTCCATCAGGTGGAAACTTTTCTTAGTAGCACCAGTGTTAATTGCGAAGCCTTTTCTCATGACAACAAAAGCAAATTTTAAAAGAAAAACTTGTTTCCTGCTGCTCAAGTCCACCTGAATTTAGGAGAGCAGAACTTAACAATTAGCAATTTTGTAAAAGAGGATTGGAAAAGGTGTACCACGAATCGTCCTAAATAGGTACACCTTTCTTAATATGTATTCGAAGCAATTACCATGAGTCTGACACCAAGTCATTATAATGAAAAAAAATTCTAAAGGATGTTCTTTCCATCAATCCTAACAGTGACCTGCTTGTTGCAGTTTGGAAAATATTGCAGTTTGAAATGATATCAGGAGTCAGGAGAGTTAGTGATATCAAGAGGCGATTTCGCCCATTTCGATATCACGTGTCGAGGTCGAGCGTTCCTTAATTTTAGGGTAGGCCTAACCCTCTTAAAGCTATATATTTTTGTATTTTTGTTTTGTTTTGTTTTGTTTTGTTTGTTTTTTTTTTTTTTTTTTTTTTTTTTTTTTTTTTTTTTTTTTTTTTTTTTTTTTTTTTTTTTTTTTTT